AAAATCTTCTCTGCCGTTTATGCAGGTACGGTAACGTGACTGCAATTTGATGAAAAATGGGCAATCCTGAAATTGTGTAGGTTCTGTTGATAAAATTGTAGAATCTGGTGTTGTTTGAAGGAAGGGAGGATAATAAGCCCCTGTTTGACTTCCATTATTTCATAACTATTTTTTTCTCAAACTTACTTTCAATCTCACATTATCACAGTAAAATAGTTTGCACGTAAACCAGAAATATTCTCTCACTTTTTAATCACATATTCTTCAAAAAGTCACTATTCCAAAACTCATTTTCATTGAATAATGGTAGACAAACAGGGGCAAAGTATATGATACTGTAGTTGATTCTAACGCCCCAGTATGCCACATTTCCGTGACTTCTCTTCCTCCTCTGAACTGTAAGATTTGATGAATTTTTGATGCATTACTTTTATGACCAGTGTTTGGAAGCCAAGCACTGTAGTAATTGTGCATAATCGTTCAAAGATATTGGTGGCATGCTGGATTGTTTTCTGCATATACGAAGGTGATCTTATGTAAATATGACTGCCAGTTTATCTTTATTGAATTTGAAATTTTGATTTCGATCAGTAGTGAGAATAAACCGCTTCAAATTTAGAATTGAAAACCCATTGTTATTTACTAACTCCTGACTTACCATTTTGAATTGGGAAAATATATACTGTTACAGTGAAGATTTATGATTGACATCATATGCCCCCATTATGATCTATGTTTTCTGGTATAGAATTGTGAATCAATCGTCTGAAAATTAATTCTGCCGATAAGTCATACTCGATAGTTCATTTCATTGGCAGCCTGCACGAGCACGAGCATCACGTGCTTAATTCAAATGTGGCTTGTTGAATTCCAGAAGCATGTTTCTTACTGTACTAAAACAAGTGACCGTGTCTTCTCTGCTGTCGACTGGAGTCCCATTTAGCAATTCAATCGCCAGAACATTGTAAGATGTCTCATTTTGGATTAAAAAGGGTATGGGGTAATTAACTGATAAACCCTTCCATTGCCATGCAAACCAAATGCAAATTCAACAGTATGACTATAATTGGTGCAACAGAAAGGATAAGGAGAAACGAACTGAATATACAATCAGGAAAGTTCAAAGGCAAAATGATATTGAATATAAAATAGAAGAATGTTCATTAGGTATAATCTGACAGAACAAGTATTCTTCATCAAGATTCATTCAGACAACAATAACAGAACATTCAAAAAAGAGACTTCTTGGAAGCCTTTTACCCCCAAGATTGCCTCCCAAACCAATGGCAAGAAAGGACCTTTCTTCTCCAAATGCTCCCTACCCCTTTCTCATCAATAAAACATCTTTTCTGCCTCATCACCTCGATCACACTGAGCTTCTTCCAGACCCTTCTCCCTACAATACCCATCAACCAAACCTATGAAAGTTGCCGTATTAGAGGAATGTCTAGCTTCCAACATGTCAATACAAAGCTTATACGCGACCTCCAACCTCTTCCCTTGACAAAGCCCAGAATCAAAACCCCATAACAAAATGCATTTGGAATGATCCCAATACTCTGCATTTTCTTAAAAATTCTCACGACGTCTTCAAACTTCTGTGCCTTGCAGAAGCCTGCCACTATAGCAGTGTATATAACCACTTTCGGAATAGTACCCTTCTCACGCATTAACCCAAAAAGCTTCATTGCCTCTTGAAACAACTTCGCTTTACATAAACCATCAAGCATCACCACGGCATTTGGGGTCAACCCAGTCTCCTTCATCTTCTTGAATATGGCTTCTGCATCCTCCGAAGGAGGAATTGGCTCAACGTTTTCAGGTTTCTCAATGATACTATTAACATTATGGGTAATTAGCATAAAACATTCATATCGTTTGCACTCATTGCAAAA